GGGGTGGGTGGTACACAAGGCCACAGCACCAGAATAATTACCACCTTCTTCAGCACTGGACTTGAGCCAGAACCGACTAAACTTTCCCTAATATCTGCTTTTCATATTCGTGAAACTAGAGAGTGTTCAGGCATGAAGACAGGTAGGGCAGTAAGGCCAAAAATGCTGTGCTGTGATGAAACGGAAGGCACCCATGAGCAAACAACTCCCGCTAACATAAGATGCTGCCTGTTGTACCTCTGTGTGCTCTGGAGCCAACTCCTTCCAATCAGACTCTGCTGGGAGTGGCACGGGGCACAAGTCTGCAGCCTCTCTGGTTTCGGTGAGACTGGCCACGTTCAAACATTCCCAATGCAGAGACGGAGACGCAGCACTCAACAGGATGCTGCCTGTTGAATCTCTGCACCAGTCCCTGTTCCAGATTCACCCTCTTTCAGTTAACAGGCATGCTCAGAACAGGACTCAGGCAGAAGTATATGGAGTGTGCTACTCTAAAAAACAAACAAACTCTTTGGGTGTAAGGATGCACTTCTGGTTTCAGTTCAGAAATAACGCATCAAAAGTTTGGGAAACAATGGAACTGGGGGAAGGGCTGCTGCATGCTTTTATCTGCAGGAAAGAATTAAACCCTACAAGTCGAATTCACACAGTAACTCCAAAACAGGATGAAGGGTTGTAGCTGTGAGACCAAACTAGGCATTACACAGGGGAATTTCAGACAGGATTCCCCCAATATTTCCTTCCATGTTAAGAAGCAGCCAGGGGGTGATTTAGATCAGAGTAAAATGGCTGCACAGGAAGTATTTAACCTTTTCCTCCATTCGCACCCTCCCGCCCCCATATAAATTACCATCACAACATACTATTACTACCAAGCTCATGTCCTCCAATCTTTACGGGGGAAACAGATCAGAGAGGAAGAAAGGAGGAAGCTCTCCCTGCTCTAGCACTGTGGCCCCAATCCTAATTCCCCTCCACACTGCTTCTCTCTGCCAGTAAAATAAATGTTGAAGGATCTGATCATAGATCCCCAATATGTACCAGGTCAATCATGTGGCCACAAAACAGAAAGCTACAGGATCAGGGTGTCAGGTTCAACAGCAAGTAAATCTCCACACACATTTCCAGGGAAGCAAAACATGGCAGCTAGCTGACACGGGGAAGAGACATTCTAGGGGGCAAAACCCTGATTGCATGGTGCCATCTAGTGGTGAGAAATCTGCCGTCTCCTGAGTGGCGCATCACCACCGGGGGATGTAGGGGGAAGCCAGGCACCACTGCATGCTCCGAAATGAAACAGAACTTCCAGTCCCCAGGCACACAGACTCCAAGAGCAACAGCGTCTGGGATTCTGGGGCTGTCACCTAGGGATCACATAAAGGTAAAGGGTAAAGGTTCCCTTGCTCGAAAGCCAGTCGAATCCGGCTCTAGGGTTGCGGTGCTCATCTCCGTTTCAAAGCCGAAGAGCCAGCACTGTCCGAAGACGTTTCCGTAGTCATGTGGCCGGCATGACTAAATACCAAGGCGCACGGAACGCTGTTACCTTCCCACCGAAGAGGTACCTATTTATCTACTTGCAATTTCTTGCTTTCGAACTGCTAGGTGGGCAGGAGCTGGAACTAGAGATGGGAGCTCACTCCGTCATGCGGCACCCGGGTCTCGAACTGCTGAACTACCGACCTTCCACAGCCTGCAGTTCAGCGTCTTAACCACTTGAGCCACCGCAGCTCCATGGATCACAGGCAGCCCTATAAATTATGACACCTCAAGTGACCACTGGGGTTATCTGTTCTGGGAAGCAAGCCTTGGGAGCACAGGCTGTGAAATCTACACTGCTGGCAATGGGACCCTTAAAGGGCTGCATCTGGGACATTTCTCCATGCTCTCTGTGGCCTGCAAAAGCACACAAGCATCTATATAAAGAGACGCTGCCTTATCCCAAGAGTTAGCCCAGGAAGGTCTGTGCTGGCTGCCCAATCGCTCTCTGGGGTCTCCAGCAAAGGGAAGTCTTCCCCAGTGATGTGAGAAACTCTTAACGGAAATACTGGAGGACTCTGGCTGGAACTTTCTGTGTGCAAAGCACCCGATTCCCCCAGTTGTAATAAAAACAATGCAAATAATAGTTCATTGTTTTGATGTTTACAGTGCTTCCTGCAGAGTTCTTACAAACAGCCCTGTAAAGTTGGCCACTATTATTCTTCGCAGACAGGAAGCAGAGGCTAAGAGCCACTAAGCGACTCCTGGGAGAGGTGAGATCTAAACAGGTCCTCCAAGACAACTACACCTCTGAACCAAACACAAAATCTCAAGCAGGGGTCCTCCCCATCTCTTCAAACTACAAAGAGCCAGTTTGGTGTAGTGGTTAAGTGCATGGACCAAGTTTGATTCCCCACTCCTCCACTTGTTGCTGCTGGATGACCTTGGGCAAGCCATAGTTCTGGCACAGCTGTTCTTGAAAAAGAGCAGTTTCTGTCAGAGCTCTCTCAGCCCCGCCTACCTCACAGGGTGTCTGTTGTGGGTGGGGGGAATTTGTAAGCCTCTCTGAGACTCCTCTGGGTAGTGAAGGGTGGGGTATAAATCCAATCTCTTCTTCTTCTTCCTCAAAGCCAGGTATGGCTCTTATAATGAAATACAAACTGGAAACATGGTGGGTAACACTAAACAATGCAACACCGTGTAAAAACAACATGTTGTATTCTATATTGAATTCATTCTAACAGGTGACACTCAAACAGGTGACACATGTTGGCTTTACAAGTAATATTACAATCTTAACTGTGCCTATTTAAAGATGTATACATCAATAATGTCAGTATCTTTCTACTAACATGAAAGATTCCCAAATGCTTCTATGAAGCAGTTTTGGATAGCTATAAGCAGTATATAAATACTTTTTGCTTTACCACTGGAAAGGACTGTTAAAAATTTTGATACCCTGTTGAAGTTGTTTCACTTAAGCTAAGTGTTGGAGAATCTTTCTGGTTAGTGGAAAGATACTGACATTATTGATGTATATCTTTAGGCACAGTTAGGACTGTAATATTACTTGTAAAGCGCGGCATATGGTTATATGTGAGTGTTATGTGTTAGAATGATTTCAATACAGAATACCCGGTGTGGCACTGTTTTTACCCGGTGTGGCACTGTTTACTCTAAGGCAGGGGTGTCAAACATGCAGCCCGGGAGCCGGATCAGGCCCCCAGAGGGCTTCGATCAGGCCCACAGTGGAACTGGCTGTCTTCTGCTGCTTCTTCCAGTTCTGCTGCTGCTACATCATCGTAGGTTTGCAGCTTACAGATACACACCCGAACGGCATACTCAAGATTGCAACAGCAGAGAGATTTTGATGCAATAATTCAGAGCAAGAGGTGTCAGTTATCAGACACCGTTAAATAAACAAAATATTGCAAGAGTGCTAAATGTTTTAAGCATGTTTTTATTTTAAGTAAACCAAAGTCCTTTGTGTTTGTGTCCTTTATAAAGTTTATATCTCCGCTACCTGGCATTCCATTTTATCACACACATTTTATCACACACATGGCCTAGCCTGACAAGGCCTCATTTATGTCAGATCCAGCCCTCATAACAAATGAGTTTGACACCCCTACTCTAAGATATGGCTCAGAGGCATGCAAAGCATGTGCCCCGACTGCTGAGCAAGTGGGCCTTTCTTCACTTGGAATTGGGGGGGAAGTAAAGTTGAGCAGCATCCAGATTTCAGAGTGCCTGCTCTACCACTCCCACTCCTTTTCCCCAAAGGTCACCAGCTGCAAAACACCAGGCCTGAACTACGGACTGCGGGACGCTCCCATGGGGTCTCGAGAGGAGGTGGGTGAGAATCGCTTACCATCCTTATTGCTGGTGACTGGAAGGTTGTGCACAGTGCGTAGCTTGAAGCAGGAGCCCGTGAGCACTTGCAGTTCCACGGAGCTGAGCACGAAAGTCTGGAGGTCTGCGTGGGGGACAAGAGAGGGAGACTCAGCAGAAGCCCACAGGCAGGTAGGGCAGCCCCTGCGCTGTTCCTGTAAGGTGGTTCAGAAGCTGCTACAGCAGAAGCTCACTAGGGGGCAGCAGAGAGTGAAGACTGAGGAGAGACAGAACTGCAGGGGGCCATCATCCGGGGGGCCCAATCCAGCACCCGGAAGGTCTTTCGCTGTTCTTTGGCTATTACTGTTTGCATATACTGTAATAAAATCTGGAGGGGGGGAAAGTCCTCTGCACTATCCTGCATGCCAGGCAACTTGCATAAGCCAAGCCAACAACGTAGGTCAAAACTATAAACAGTTAAAAATATATATCATAGATTGAACCGCCCATAAAATTCCCAAATAAAAAATGTTCAGCACCCTCTTAAAAATCTGTCTATAAAAGTCTTAAAAGGTAGGACCGGTCTGTGCAACATTTTTGCCTCTAAAGACCTTATAGGAGGATGCTGGGGTGGAGCCACTTGGCTGGCAGACTTTTTCATAAATCTGGTGTCATGACTGAAAAGGCCCTGGACTTCCCCAAGAGGCATGAAGCTGCAGGGGGAGACATACATAAGAGTCTTTTGGGAAGAGGGGTTGTACAAAAGCATCCTTGTTTGTTTTGCATTGGTATTTTGCATCCCCCCCCCTCTATTTTGTGTCCTTCTTCTTTGCAGGCATTCCCAATTCTAATTCATGTTATTTTTACTCCTCTTATGCACAGCTGACAAAAAAAAAATGTTGGAAATATGTTCGTTTTATAGCAGGAAAAAGGGCACAAGGAACCGAGCCATGGCACAGAAATAAGGCCTCAGGTTTGCCTTGTGAAAGGGGGAAGGGAGGGTTTAAGAATTTAGGAAGAGCCCTGCTGGATTAGAGCAGTGGTCCATCTAGTCCAGTATCCTGCCTCACACAGCGGCCAACAACAGGGCATGGAGGCCAAGGACGTCCCCCTGATGTTGCCTCTTGGCTCTGGGATTCAGAGGTTTAGTGCCACTGAATGTGGTGGTTCCCCTCAGTCACCACGGTGAGTAGCCCATTGATAGATCTATCCTCCATGAACCTATCTAATCCCCTTTATTTCATTCCTGTTTATTCCTGTGGTCACCACTACATCCTCTGGCAGAAAATTCCACATTTTAATCACTCTCTGTGTAAAGTAGTATTTCCTTTTGTCCGTCCTGAACCTACTGCCAATCAGCTTCATTGGATGCCCTCGAGTTCTAGTATTTTGGGAGAGGGGGGAAAAGTTCTCTGTCATCTCTATCCACCCCATGCATAATTTTATAAACCTCCGTCATGTCCCCTTTTAATTGTTTATTTTCTAAATTGAAAAGTCCCAGACTCTTCAGCCTTTTCTCATAGGGAAGGTGCTCCAACCCCCTCTTGGTTGCCCTCCTCTGAACTTTTTCCAGCTCTGCAATGTCCTTTTTGAGATACAGTGACCAGAACTCTACACAGTGTTCCAGTATCGTAATGGCCCATAGATCTATACATGGGCATTACGATATCAGCCATTTTATTTTCAGTCGCTTTCCTAATAAACTGGAACACAGATATATCCCCAATCATCCCTTTTTCACTGCTGCAGCACGCTGGGTTGACACTTTCATTGAGCTGTCCAATAAGACCCCAAGTCTTTTTCCCCTCTCAGACCGATTCCCCACAAGCAGCCGTGCCGCCATCACTCTTCCATTTCCCCCGGTTGTATTGGTCAATTTCACACTATTCGCTGCGCGGCCACATTTTGACCCCCACCTCCCCCCCAATTTCCTCCGCGTCTTCTCGGTCCTCAAAAACAGGATCGAGAAGACGTGGGGGAAATCGGGGGGGGGGGGGGGGAGGAGATGCGGGTCAAAATGCGGCTGCACAGCAAATAGTGTGAAATTGACCAATACAACCGGGGGAAATGGAAGAGTGATGGCGGCACGGCTGCTTGTGGGGAATCGGTCACTGTCTGAGCAAGTTCATTAGCCTATACTTGAAGTTGGGATTTTTTTGTCCCAATGTGCATCACCTTCAAGCTGAAGAGGGCAGCATTGTGGAAATCAGTAGGATCTCTACAACTGAGAAACTCTGCACTGATGCAGGAGTTCATACAGGGAGCAGCAAAACACCAAACCAGCCCTGAGTTGCTGACCTGACACTGCAGGACCCCTCCAGAGAGGAAAACGTTGTCGGGCATCTTACCTTTCTTTTGCAGCTTCTGGATGGCTTCTCTCCATTCCGCCCGCTCATAATCGGAGGAAAGCAGAAACAAGTAACTCTGGAAAGGAAACAGGGTGGCATCAATGCGGTGGGGCAGACAGTCCCTTGCCCCTCCCCGTAAATCGTCAGAAAAGGTGGTATGGCTCCCTCCAGAGACACTACGGCACAACGGGAGCAGAAACGCTGCCCCACATTCAAAGATCAGTGAAACTTTTAACTGGATTTGAAAATTTCAGATTTTGACAAACAAGCTTCAGGGGGTACATCAAAAGAGGAACCTTTAAGCTATAAAAATGACCAACAACCCATCTTGTCATTCTAGTGAAACTATTTTTTACAACGTTCACATCGACAAGATAATAAAAGGAAAGGGAGCTGCTGATTCAAATCCTAAATTTTCAAGGCAAATAAGTGGTCTTTTTAGCTACTTGCTGGATTTAAAACTTTGCACTCCCCCCCCCCCCCATTCCTAAATTGGAAATGTTGTAAAAACAATCAAGTTAAGAGAACTTGAATTTCATAGTTCCGCAATCCAATAAGCTTGGAAGAACAGACTCGAGATTTCTTTCCTGTCCAAATTAGCCTCGGGTTTAGCATATACCAGTGGTGGTGAACCTACAGGAAGTGGTGGCGGCTACAAGCATGAACGGCTTCAAAAGGGAATTAGATAAGCATATGGAGCAGAGGTCCATCAGTGGCTATTAGCCACAAGGTATAGATAGGGACTCTGGGGCAAGTGATGCTCTGTCATCTTGGTGCTTGGGGGGGGGGGGGTCAACAGTGGGAGGGCTTCTAATGTCCTGGCCCCACTGGTGGACCTCCTGATGGCACTGGTATTTCTGGCCACTGTGGGATACAGAGTGTTGGACTGGATGGGCCTTTGGCCTGATCCAACATTGGCATCTCTTATGTTCTCTTATGTTCTTATGGCACGGGTGCCAGAGGTGGCACTCAGAGCCCTCTCTGTGGGCATGCGTGCCATCGCCCCAGCCAGGCCCAGACCACCATTAAAGTGTCGAATTCGCTGCCAAATAATTTTAAGTAAATGAAAGCATTTGGGATTGCTTTCCTTACTTTGTTTGGGTCATCTTAAGTTAATGTATGAGTTGTTTTTTCTAAAGTAAAACCTCAGTATTCAGGTTAAATCGCCGTGTTGGCACTTTGCGATAAATAAGTGGGTTTTGGGTCGCAGTTTGGGCACTCGGTCTCTAAAAGGTTCGCCATCACTGGCATATACCCACCACCGTCTCGTCAACACACACTCTCTCTCTCTCTCAACACACAAAGGGATAATAATGCTAGGAAGCCCCGTGGTCTCTGGCATTCAGCACAGCCCAGAATCACTACCCTCTGACCTAGAAGTCTTTCCACTGACCCAGGATGTGTTGGAAGGGTCTCCAGGCATTCTACAGCTATAAGCCCTTTTTCAGCTGTATTACTCCCTGATTAGAACTAGGGTTGCCAGGTCCGGGTTGGGGAATTCCTGAAGATTCTGGAGTGGAACTTGGGAAGGGGAGTGGAGCCTGGGGAGAGGAGGAACCTCAGTGGGGTATAATGCTATAAAGCCCACCCTCTAAAGCAGCCCATTTTCCCCAGGAGAACTGATCTCTGTCATCTGGAGATCAGCTGTAGTCTACATCCCACCTAGAGGCTGGCAACCCTACTGATGCCAAGCGTGAGCCCCAAGGAGACCTGGCACCACCCCCTGCCCTCCCGCCCGTACCCCAGGGTCCACAACTTTAAAGTCTGCATCTCCCAAGCCACTCAGCAGCAGCAGCAGCAAGCAGTGGAAGCAACCCCACTACATGGCCCCCCCCCGCCACCATTTATTACTGAGCTGCACACTGGCTGCCTTTGGACCTCATAACAAACCGTGGCTTGCTTACATTGTGACTAGCCTACCAGATGGCGGGGTGGTGGGGTGGTGGTAGGTTCCGATTTGTGCACAACCCCCATTTCTTGCACCCTCCCGAGACTACTGTCTCTGTGGCCAGCAAACGTAAGGAATTGTGGCTTGTGAATTCAGATGTCAGATGGAATAGTAGACCGCAACGTAATGTCATTTGGAATGGCAGACTGGAATGTATTTCTCTCGTCTGGGGACACAGAAGATACACTGCACAGTCAATCAACCCATCTCAAAGAAGAGGGCGCTGTAAGGTCGCCTTCACGCATGAGAGGAGATGGATGGAGCGTGATAGCAGGGTCTCAGTTAATTACTCTCAGCGTTCCACAATTAAGAAGGGTACATCTGCCCATCAGTCTCCGATGTTGATATGTTTATTTCCTCCACTATGTTTCCCCCGCGGAAGTAAACCCAAGCACATGGTGACTGTATAAACTAAGCTTGTTATTCCAGTTGGGTCCTTGCATCTGTCAAACAACTTGAATATAATGTATACTAATTTGCTGCTCACCCTCTACCTATACGTATGGACTAGTAATTTCCATTTCAATGTATCTGAAGAAGTGCGCATGCACACGAAAGCTTATACCCAGCATAAAACTTTGTTGGTCTTAAAGATGCCGCTGGACTCAACCCTTGTTCTGCAGCTTCAGACCAACATGGCGACCCACTTGAATCTAGCACCAAACCACAGTTAGCATAAACCTTTGGTTAACAAACCAACCACCAATGCTAAGATAAAGTCTGTGCTAGCCAACAAACCCCAGTTCGTCTGCCATTTGTCCATAACAGCCAACCAACATTCGTCCAAACCACAGTTTATGGACATGTCTCCACAGAGTCATGTCCACAAGGAAGCGCTTGTCCCCTTCCCCTTCTCGGGTCTCTGTGGCTGGCCTAAATGCCTCTCTATAGCAGTTCCCTTTCCTCTCCCTCTCCCAACCTCCATGAGGACCCATCCGTACTTTCCCGTTGCGGTGATGGATGCGGAAGGGGATGGAAGGAGAGTTGAGCAGGAGCCAGAATTCGTTGTCAAACATTTTCTTCTTCAGGCGCTCCATAGCTCGGCTCTGCCCCTTGTTGGCCTTCTGTGGAGGAGGAGAAGAAGCCGGGTTGGAAACAAGTCGGGTTGAAGATTTGAACACTGGCATGAAGACCTTAATTTCTTAGGTCAATACGGGAATGGGAGGGGTGGAAGTGGGGAATTCTTCCCGGAAACACCTCAAGTTCTCAGCTGACTCACAATGTCCTAAGCCTCCTGAAAGCTTAAGCTAAAGGTAAAGGTTCCCTTGCTCGAAAGTCAGTCGAATCTGACTCTAGGGTTGTGGTGCTCATCTCCGTTTCAAAGCCGAAGAGCCAGCGCTGTCCGAAGACGTTTCCGTGGTCACATGGCCGGCATGACTAAACACCAAGGCGCACGGAATGCTGTTACCTTCCCACCGAAGTGGTCCCTCTTTATCTACTTGCAATTTCTTGCTTTCGAACTGCCAGGTTGGCAGGAGCTGGAACTAGAGATGGGAGCTCACTCCGTCATGCGGCACCCGGGTCTGGAACTGCTGAACTACTGACCTTCCACAGCCTGCAGGTCAGCGTCTTAACCACTTGAGCCACCGCAGCTCCTTCCTGAAAGCTTATACTCTCCCAAATCTTGTTGGCCTCTAAGGTGCTACTGGACTCCAGTCTAGCTGATGTACGGCAGACCAACAGGGCTGCCCTCCGAAACTAGATCAAGATGGGCAGCCGTGTTAGTCTGTCTGTAGCGGCAGGAAAGAGCAGGGGTCCAGGAGCACCTGAAAGACTAACAGAATTTGTGGCAGGGGAGGAGCTTTTGTGAGTCACGGCTCACTTCTGCAATGTCTGAAGACTAACATTCTTCAGGGAAGCACTCAGGGAAGGGCGGTCTATACATTTAAATTATTAATAAATAATCAAATAAAAATCTGTGGCAGGGGACGAGCTTTTGTGAGGCGCTGCTCACTTTTCTTCAGTATCTGGCATGGGAATTGGGGGGGTGGGGGGTGGAAGCGGACAGTTCAGGATCTGAAGGAGTGAGGAGCGACTCACAAACGCTCCTCCCCTGCTACGAATTTTGTTAAGTCTTTCAGGTGCTGCTGGACTCTGAAACGATTCTCAGCTCAGCTTCTCTGCTGGGGGGGAAGGAGGTGGTGGTTTGCCAAAGCAAAAAAAAATACAGTAGTGCCCCTCAAGGACAGGGGTAGTCGACAAGGTTAGGCCAATGCCCACAAGGGGCTCGCTGGCCCCTCCCCAAGTGGACTGTCATTCTTAGGCACACAGGCTCTTTTTGTAGCAGGAACTCCTTTGCATATTGGGTGACACACCCCTAATGTAGCCAATCCTCCAAGAGCTTACAGAGCTCTTCTTACAGGGGCTGCTGTAAGCTCTTGGAGGATTGGCTACATTAGGGGTGTGTCACCTAATATGCAAAGGAGTTCCTGCTACAAAAAGAGCCCACACCCTTCCCGCCCACAAGTCTTCTGTTGGGCAGGGGTCTCTGTGCCACTTTAGACGCTCCTTTCGCAGCCAAGCAGTGTGATATGATGTGGGAGAAGATCAGTTCTTGTAGCTTTAGAGTAAAGGAACCCTCCCATGTGCCTGGGAACAATTTGAAAACCCAGTTGTGTATACAGTATATAAAAATCTTCTTAAATACTATGTATTTTAAATGTCTTTGTTAAATGTTAGATTATTAAAGTATCTATATTTCCCCCTTTTCCCTTTTTTTCCTGTAAAAAGGTAAAGGTAAAGGTTCCCTTGCTCGAAAGCCAGTCGAATCCGACTCTAGGTTTGCGGTGCTCATCTCCGTTTCAAAGCCAAAGAGCCAGCGCTGTCCGAAGAAGTTTCCGTGGTCATGTGGCCGGCATGACTAAACACCAAGGAGCACGGAACGCTGTTCCCTTCCCACCGAAGTGGTACCTATTTATCTACTTGCAATTTCTTGCTTTCGAACTGCTAGGTTGGCAGGAGCTGGAACTAGAGACAGGAGCTCACCCTGTCTTGCGGCACACTTGGGTCTCGAACTGCTGAACTACTGACTTTCCACAGCCTGCAGTTCAGCGTCTTAACCATTTCCCCCTTTTCCCTTTTTTTCCTGTACCCCTATTTTAATTTAAAATAACAATAATAAGTTATATATATAAAAGAAAAGGACAACCCAGTTATGCAAATCCAGAGCATTTGTATAACATCCTTGGTCTCTGTTAAACACAGCAAGGGATCAAGAGCTATACCAGCCACCCAACGATGACTGGGGTGTTCAGTGGAGGCAAAATAAAGTATATCTTCTTCACATGGTGAATAACTAACTACCCTAAATAACGGGTAAGGCAGCAGGCTCACGTGGGTTAAAAAAGGACTAGGCGGAGTAAAAGGTTCCCGGTTCAGTCCCCGGCATCTCCAGTTAAAGGGATCAGGTGGCAGATGATGGGAAAGACCTCTGCCTGAGACCCTGGCAAGCTCCTGCCAGTCTGAGTAGATGATACCAACCCCGATGGACCAAAAGGTCTGATTCAGTCTAAGGCCACTTCATCTGTGTTCCAGCAGGAGGTTCGCCAATGGCTCTTAGTCCAGTGGAGCCTCCGTGTGTAGCAGCAGTGTCGCTCTGAGTCGCAGGGGCAACAGGAAAGGCCCACTGCTTTCCAGCCCTGTTTGTGAGCTTCCAAAGGCATCCCCTGCCAGAGACCAGCTGCTGGACCAGATGGACCTCTTGGGCCAATCCCACACAGTTATCCTAACTGCCCGCTTGGCACCCTGGGAACCCAGCACCCCGGGAACCCAGCACCCTGGCGGTGCCTTCTCCTAGCCCCTCCCCTGGGTACGCACCTCCTTCTGCACCTCGCTTTTCATAGAGGAGATCTTCATCTTCATGTCCTCCAAATCGTGGTCAGGCATGGCGTGGACGTGCGGGCAGGGATCCAGCTCTTCGAGGGAGGGGAACACCAGCTCTGCCAAGGGCACATACCACTTGCAGTCATACTGCTGGTGTTTCCTGCGGAGACAGGGGGACCATCAATCTGGCCAGTTTACCCAAGCCACACTCAAGAGCCCTTCCTCAGGACCGCCCTGGGCTACATGTGTGTTTGGACAACCATGTTTTCCACTTCCCTCCAGGGGTGTGACTGAGCACATGGCCTAGCGGGCAGAAGGTACCCCGGATTGGTCCCCTCAGTGCAGGCTCTGGGAGGCCCAGGGGCCCCCTTCTGCCCACCACCAGGCCCCCTCATGCCTGGTATTATTATTACCTGGTATTATGAAAACATATATTTAAACTGCTGCTTTGCAGTGAGTAGTATTTCTCCAACAGGTAATCAAGATGTACGCACCCACACCACGGAATGTGCATATATTCCCGTTTCACGTGACCGCTTTATCTCAGTGTGCTGTGTGAATAACATTAGTTTACACGTTATGAGCATGTTAAGAATTTGTTTCATTGAAGTGGGAAGAATGTTGAGTGTTAAGTTCATGGATTAGTATTGTTGATGTGTAAACTAATGTTAATGTTCTTCTAATGCCCTGGCCCCACTGGTGGACCTCCTGATGGCACCTGGTATTTCTGCCCACTGTGTGACACAGAGTGTTGGACTGGATGGGCCTTTGGCCTGATCCAACATTGGTGTCTCTTATGTTCTTATGTTCTATGAAATGGGAATATAGGCAGATTCCATGGTGTGTGTGTGTACATTTTGATTACCTATTGAAGAAATACTACTCACTGCAAAGCAGCAGTTTAAATATATATATTCATAATACCGCATCATGGCTGTTTTCATTGTCTCCAGTTCAAGGGGACAGGCAGGGTTAGATGGGCCAAGGGCCTGATTCAGCACAAAGCACCTCTACATATCTTCTGGTGGCCACCCTTAATCTGGACTCACAGTGTTCCCTCTAAGATGAGTTAGTGTGAGCTATCTCACAGTTTTTTAGCTTCTGGCTCACAGATTTTTGCCTTAGCTCAGGAAGGATGCCTCCAGAGCAAACGAATTTATGCAGTAGCCAAATTGTTTGCTCACAACTTTAATGCCAGTAGCTCACAAAGTAGAATTTTTGCTCACAAGACTCCACACCTTAGAGGGAGCATTGGTCTGGAGGCGTGCATCGTGCCCTCAAGCACCACTCATCTCGGCAGCTCTGAGGGAAAGAAGCTTGAGGTTTTGCTTCTGATTATTTGGGGAACAGGGGTGGAGATGTGAAGAAGAAGAGGAAGAAGAGATTGGGTTTATACCCCGCTTACAAACTCCCTTCCCTCCCCCTCCCCACAACATATACCCTGTGAGGTAGGTGGGGCTGAGAGAGCTCTTTCAAGAACTGCTCTTTTTCAAGGACAGCTCTTGTCAGAACTACGGCTTGGCCAAGGTCATCCAGCAGCTGCAAGTGGAGGAGTGGGGAACCAAACCCGGTTCTCCCAGATTAGAGTCCACACACTTAACCACTACACCAAACTGGCTCTGTGAGGGCCCGGGGGGGGGGGGGGGTGAGTGAAAAAAGCCCATTTTTATGAAGCCTTTTCTCCCAATGGAAACTTGTAAAAGTTTGAGGGAACACTGAAAAGAAACTCCATTCTCTTTTAGAAGGAGGTTTTATTGGGGAGGGGTCAGTGATCGGTATGAGAGGCCCCAAGGGTAAGAAATGGGGGGAAATTGGGAGGAAAACATTATCTGAGCCCCCCCCCCTTTAAAAAAAAAATCCCATGTGAAAATTGGAAAATTTGAGGGAACACTCTCTTAGAATGAGTAATAAAAGAAGGGGACGGCAAAGGATGAGATGGTCAGACAGTGTTATTGATGCAACGAACATGAAATTAAGCAAACTCCGGAGGACAGCGGGAGACAGGAGAGCCTGGCGTGACATGGTCCATGGGGTCACAAAGAGTCGGACTCGACTGTGCAACTGAACAACAACAAATATGCTTCTTAGGCCAAGGCTTTCGCCCTGAAAACACGTAGCATGAAAAAGTCTCAAGAAAAATGGAAAAATTGGAAAATTCTAGGGAGCACTGGAAAAAATCTCTTATACTGTAGTCACATATACAATATTTTGAAGATTGTTTTTTGTTTTAAATGTAAATACTTTTGGTAACAAAGAATATTCTATAATCATTCAATGATAGTACACTATTTAAAAGTTCAGTGTTTTCAACGTCATACAGTTTAGCTTGATATGCAACCATGCAGGAAGTCCTACCTATTGTGACTCAGAGAGTCTCTGTCCAAACACTCTCTTTTGTTTACTAGAGAATTTGCTTTCTACCTTCAACATTTATTTTTCCTTACCTCTCAGGTTGGCAAAAGTTAAAGGTACATGTGCTATGGTTGGATAAACAGAAACAGTTGCAAACTGCTGCACAAGTATTGAGTATACTTGCAATTTTTCTTATAGAAAATGAAAATACTTATACTTTTAGATATTGCCTGGGACTGGACAGGTTCCCAATGGCCCATCACTCCATTTGCACCAACAATCCACAGAAGGAAAGGAGAGCAGTGTGTGTGTGTATGTGAGAGAGAGAGAGAGAGAGACAGACAGACAGACAGAGACAGAGAGACAGAGAGAGACAGAGAGAGACAGAGAGAGACAGAGAGAGACAGAGAGAGACAGAGAGAGACAGAGAGAGACAGAGAGAGACAGAGAGAGACAGAGAGAGACAGAGAGAGACAGAGAGAGACAGAGAGAGACAGAGAGAGACAGAGACAGAAACAGAGACAGAGAGAGAGAGACAGACACCAGCTTCTCCCTCCCCATGCCCCATTACTTCCTCCCCCCACCTCACCCCACTGCCGTTTTCTTCAGTTTGGCACAGAGCAGCATATCCGTGAAGAGGAAGACGTGGCGTAGTTTGCGGGTGCCTTCGGCCATCTCCACCAAGAAGCCATCTTTGACCATCTGCCGGGTCTGGAAGCGAGAAAGGGAGATGTGGGAGGGGGGCCGTCACGGTCTCCCCCTCCCGCAAATACACAGTGCAGAGATAGACCCAACCCAAATCTCTGGCCCGGTTCAGGACTCAAGTGGTGAATCTCTGAGGTCTTTATCAGAAGGGATACAAAGGTAAAGAGACCAAGAATAGCTACGCCTAAAATCCTTTTTAAAATAAAGCAGTTTGGGGTTGTTGTTTTCCCAAAAATTTATGACGGATTGATAAATGTGCGCGCCATGCATTTAAAATATAATTTTAGATAGACAAATGAACTGCAGGACAGGAAGGGGAGAAAGAAGAGAAGGAGAGATTGGATTTATACCCCGCCCTTCACTTGGAGTCTCAAAGCGGCTTACAATCTCCTTTCCCTTCCCCTCCCCACAACAGACACCCTTGTGAGGTAGGTGGGGCTGAGAGAGCTCTTTCGAGAACTGCTCTTGAGAGAACAGCTCTGAGAGCACTTATGATTGACCCAAGGTCACACCAGCAGCTGCACATTGAGGAGTGGGGAATCAAACCTGGTTCTCCCAGATTAGAGTCCACGCTCTTAACCACCTACACCAAAGTGGGATTCAACTGGGTTATCTGCACCTTGCTCATTCAGACTGTGAAGACGAAAGAAACCTGGGCTCCGCCTCATAGCTGTAAAGGATGCACTACAAGCCATCTGATACTCCCTCTGTCTTCACCTTCACTGTCTCATTGTTTTGCTGCTTTCTTCTAAACAGCGCCAGGGCGTTGCTACAAGTCTGTACACCTACTAATCCCACCCACCCAACACTACTAGAATTTGGGGTCAGCCCCTGGAGCAGGAGGGTTGGGACAGATGAAAATCAAACCTCCTTCAAAACACCTGGAAATGCATGGTACTTTGTACCATGAGCTGTGGCAAGGGACCACACTGCTAGCTCCGATGACTCTGGAAAAGGACTGGATGGATCCACCAAGAGCTTTTCGGCTACAACGTTCTTCAGGCTCAGAAACTGTATTACACAGATTGCCTCTAGCCTTCCTGTCTCACTTGTGGGCTCTCCCAGAAGCACGTGGCCGTCCATTGCCAGAAGCAAGGTGTGGGGATGAAATGTAATCCATCCAGTCCTTTTCCTTTGGGGTCCTCCCCCTGCTCTCCACCCCCCTCACCTCCCCCTTGGGCGTGGTGACTGCCGTCCTGCGGGGATCGATGTCCTCATTGATGCTGGAGAGGAAGTTCTGGGAGATCCGGAGGGCGTCCTGCAGCAACGGGTAGTCCGGGTGGTCCGATGGCGTGTGCTTGAGCAGGTCCTGAGGCAAGAGCAGAGAAGGTGAGGGGCCCAACTTGCTGACTCCTAAGGGAGTCCGTATGGCAGCCCCATCTCGCCACAGCTTGGAAGCTAAGCAGGGTTGAACACGGTCGCTACTTGGATGGGAGACCCCCCCCCCAAGGAAGACAGGGGCTGCTGCACAGAGGAAGGCGATGGCAGACCACCTCTGCCCCTCTCTTGCACTGACAACCCCACAAGGTGGAACTTCACGGGGTTCCCATGAGTCAATTGCGACTTGACAACACACTTTAAGGGGGCTGAGGGAGTAAACCTGGGAAGCAGAAGCACCTCCCCTTAAGAATGTGTGAGTGTGACCTGCCCTCCTTCCAGGAAGGGGTGAGGGTTCCAGCAGAGGGAAGTGTACATGACGCTGACACACAACCTCAGGTGTGTTCCCCCTCCCTCCCAAACAAGACTGAGATCAGTCCCACAGACTTTCCGCCTACCTCCTAATATAAGGATAGTAATACTCAGGGCTTTTTGGTAGAAAAAGCCCAGTAGGAACTCATTAGCATAATAGGCCACACCCAACAGCAGAAACTCATTAGCATATTAGGCCACACCCAATAGCGCAGCTCATTAACCTATCAGGCCACACCCCCATACCTTCCCTTGGCTTGCCCATGTGCCCCGGGGCTGCAGGGAGCCCGGGCAAGTTCCCCCTTGGAGGTAAGGGCAGTTTAAACTGCCTTCCCTTGGCTTGCCCGGGCACCCCGTGGCTGCGGGGCAGGCCGGGGAAGGCATGTGGAGGCATTTAAATGCCTCCCCAATCCTTCCAGGGGGGCCCCAGCCCGCCCACCAGGGGGGTCGCTCTCCTGGCCTTCCCTCTGTAGCCACACACGTAGAGGTTTGGGCTGTAGTGGGCATGGCCAACTCTGAAGCCAGCCGGAACTCCGTTCCTGTGCGTTCCTGCCCAAAAATTGCCCTGGTAATACTGACCTGCCTTACAAGGCTGCAATTGCAAGGGTTATTTATTTATTTATTTATTTATTGTTTAGACTTTTAGGTCGCCCTTCCCTGCAAGCAGGGCTCAGGGCGTCTCACAACAGAATCGAAACACAATACTCCTAGTTAAATTGAACCAGTGTTAAAACACAATGCAGAGTCATAAGTAAAAAGCAATTCCAAGGTGGCGAATAATTTGGATGGAAAGGAAAATTGAACTACCCAGAGCTTCCAAGGGGCATAATACATGTGAAGAACATCAGAAGAGCCCTGCTGGATCAGACCAGCAGTCTATCTAGTCCAGTATTGTGTCTTACACAGTGGCCAAGCAGTTCCTCTGGACAGCCAACAACAGGGCAGAGAGGCCGAGTCCTTCATAAGAACTTAGGAAGAGCCCTGCTGGATCAGACCAGTGGTCCATCTCGTCTAGCATTCTGTCTTACACAGTGGCCAACCAGTTCCTCTGGACAGCCAACAATAAGGCATAGAGGCTGAGGCCTTCATAAGAACTTAGGAAGATCCGTGCTGGATCAGACCAGTGGTTCACCTACTCCAGTATCCTGTCTCACACAGTGGCCAACCAGTTCCCCTGGACAGCCAACAACAGGGCAAAGAGGCTAAGGCCTTCCCTGATGTTGCCTCCTGGCTCTGGGATTCAGAGGCTTAGTGCTTTGAATACCCTACAATGCTATATAGGTACTCTAATGCAGGGATTGCAAATCTTTTTTGAGCCTGTGGGCACCTTTAGGATTTTGAGAGGAGGCAACCCTGCTTTAATGGATAATCCCCTTTGTCAGCCATTTTTATTATTCAAAGGTGGGAGGAATCCATTCCTTGCACCTGGAGGGAGCCACAAAAGAATTCTGTCTCTTTTCTCCGCATGTCAGTTTACAGGGATTTGCATGAAGGCTGTGGTCAGGAAACATGAACCTCCTCTCTTCCCCGGTATACTCACGTGCAATACGAGCGTGCTCCGAGTCACACGGTCTATAGGCTTATATAGCAGTGCTATATGTTGGGAAAGAGGAGAAAAATGCAAGATCCTGGTGAGAGGCACTCTGGGGCAGCCGGCCCCCTTTCTCACTCCCCAGACTCTCACCCAGGCACCGCACATACCCAAGTCTCCCCCCACACACACACACATTCACTGGTCCACCAAAATGGCCCCCATTTAAGACCTGACCTGGATAGCCCAGGCAAGCCGAATCTCATCAGGTCTCAGGAGCGAAGCAGGGGCAACCCTGGCAAGTACTTGGAAGGGAGATCTCCAAGGAATACCAGGGCCGGAACGCAGAGGCAAGGCGATTATCAAGCCACCTCTCTGAAACATCCAAGCCCCACTAGGGGTCACCAGAATTCATCATGACGTCCAGGCACACAAGCACATACACGCACACACACAAACGACCAAAAGAAAAGAAAAAGGAAAAAATGGCCCCTCTTTCAGTCACCAGGTACAGGAGCAATGGAGAGGAAAGCCTGGAACTTCACCCCCTGCCAAAGAGACCACAATTCTGAAGAGACCTGGTACAATGCAGGCATCTTTATTATTTATGGATTAGTATCTGTGCTCTTTTGAGATCCCCACCCCATCCTCTCTGGTCCGACTAGTTTTTGAAATGTTTAAAAACACTGCAAAACTTGATGGTGGAACAGACATCACGGGTATGAGCCAATCGGTGCAGTTCATAGCCACAGTTTGCATACATCTGCCTATTCACAACTAAGCCAAGAGGTGTGGGGGGGAACTAATTTTTTTGCATGTAGGACAAAACCTTGTTGAGCCCATGCTTCCCTCCTTTATTAATAAAGTTTTAAAGTTTGGATTCTCCTCTACAAGACTGCCGTGTGCTTTCTCAAATTGGGCTGGGGGAGCACAACCTTTGACGGAGTTTCTGTCCTACATAGGCAAGGGCCGCTGGCCACCTCTCCTTCCTCACCTTGCGCCACAGACACTTTCGAGCATTTTTCTCACTGTGTCGTTCAGATCCTGGAACTGGGATGGGAAGAAGAGAACTTGAAATGCCTGGGCACAGAAAGGTGAGGTGGAGGATAGGGGCAGCCTCCCTTCCCCCCACTTTAGAGGCATGAGGGGCCAAATACCACAAGAACAAAGATGGCTGCCCTGCCATCTATATATCTAACAGCCAAGTTGCCCCCTCCATGCAGATATCTAAATCTGCACATTGGGGGCACTTGGGGGGCAGAGAAATTTTCCTGCACACTTGGAGCAGTCCCCAGGTGTGCAGTTGAAAAAAATTCACGGGGGATATTTAAATCCCACCCAAAGTAAAAGTGTTCTCTGTGCATGTGCAGAGAACCCTCTGGCCATTGGGGGGGAAGCTCAGCAGGCCTGGCAGCTGGGAGCCGCTCAGGCCTCACTACCGGTGCGGGGGGGGGGGCCGGGGAGAAGGAGTGG